CTGACAGTTGGAGACATTCTGACTGGCGCCCGCCGAAACGAGTCCAAAAATCAAAACTCTCACTTCTTCTGTCCTCCCCTCTTCGTTAGGGTCTAAAAGTGGAAGGGATGGCTTAATTTTCAGATTTAGATCGACATGTTGCTTCGTTTACATATTACTTTTCGCATGTTAACGTCGTAATTATTTGTTTACATCGGTAGTAATTGTAAGTTATGGTTGAAAAGAATAAATATTATATTTTTTTAATAATATAACTATAAAATAACAATTATGAGGATTCAATTAACTATAACTAAGTGACCTTGCTGTTGTTTCACGGACAAAATTTTCAATACTAAAATATCAGAGTATAAAAATCAAATATTTTAACAATAAACAAATTAAAAGTAAAGAAAGGAACGCAAATGATTTGAGTATTTACATGAGATATAAAATTTCCATAATAAATTCAACTAACTTTCTCCTATTTTTATTCAGGTCAGTTTTCATTGTTGAGGAGGCTGAGAAAAAGCTAAAGACATCTGAGCTTTGTCGAGTCAGTTACGCTTAAACGTTCCGCAAATTTTATTGTTTTTTACTTTCTAAGCGTCGGCTAGATGACACTCAACCGCACGGTCGTAAAATCGGGTTCGAAAGGTCTGGGGTCACATGTGCATCGGAACAGATCGCGATAAAACGAGAGGGACAAACTAAAACGATATTTAGTTGGTGACACGTGCTGAAAACGAATATTAAAAACATTTGTTCATAGCATCATCGCCGGCGAGAGCTTTGTTTTTGAGAAAGGCCGAAATGAAACGCTAGTTCAAAAACGTTTCGTTCTACGCTATACAGAACTAACCCGAATAGTAATTAATTTTATTTAGATTCACGCAATTTTACAAATTTTTGAAAAAAAATGAAAAAAAATTTTGTTCTTCTTTTAAAAAATAAAGATTGCTACCCTTAAGTTAGAAATGTAGTATAAATATTCATCTATTACAAAAGAATGACATGCGCTTTGCTTTATCAAAACATTTGTAGTAGTTTTCAAGAAATTAAACAATAAAACGGTTTATGAGTGTTTTTTAAGAGCATTTTTGCCACTTAAATGGACGCACAGGCACGTATTAAAAAATACGCGTCGAGTATTTTTCAATATACTACAATATATCATAATTTGAAGAAAATAGGTGAGGTACACCTAGGGTAGTGTCTAAGAGACCCAGACATGTACTATTTTTTCTACATAGGTTTGATACCGGGGCACAATTTAAATGAATTGCCTTCTAAATTTAAAAAAAAAAAACCAGAATCTTTTTGAAATATGTGTATGGAATCTTTTTTGAAGTATGTATGCTCGGTCTTTTCTTGCGACAAAAGAGTATTTTGTATCTATAAATTCAATTTTCTTATGCATGTCTGAAACAAAAGAATTAAATATTTCTTAAAAAATGTATCGACGCAAAAACAGGTTTTTCAAGTAGTTAGAATTACATATAGCCATTGCGAATCAAGTGTAATACATCTTCGTGCGTCATTACGGATAAAAAGAAAGGAAAAAGTAAGTGATGAAAATCATATAGTATATTCGCGGTTCCGCAAGTTTCGTGGAACTTGACCCTTTGCCAACAATTCCGCCGGAAAGTACATTAAGATCAAATTCACTTGGAGAGAGCTTGAGAAAGAAGGGGAATGATTCTTCGTCCAGAGTCGAGGGACATTAAAATTCCTTAGATTTCATTCGCCTCTACTCTTTTTTTTCTAGTTTTAATTCGACGGGCCACGCTACAAAGTTTTCGCGCACATCTATTATCCTTTTCTTTTTGTGTCGCACTACAATCAGAGAGAAAAGGGACATTTGTTAAAGTCTTATAATTAATTATGGGACGTCTGACTTCCTACCATTTCTCCTTTTTTCTTATCCTGCAGTTGTTTAATCGCTCCACTTTACATTCAATTGAATAATTGGTAACGTTTCTACATTAAAATACATTTTTTGTCAATCAAATATAATATAATCAAATATAAATGAATTATTCTTCTATTGTGCTCTGTGGAAACGATATATTATTACCCTAACAATGCTTCATTAGCGTATTTTAGTATGGACGGTTATAAATTTGACATATGAAAGATGTTTATTTTACCATAAAAAATTATTTTATTAGTATGAAATTTGTTTACCATATCAACTATGGTAAATAGTGTTTTAAATTAATTACAATTTTTTATTTATTTGTAGCAAATTGTTCTTTTAATAATAATATTTTGTATTATCAGCAATTGTTAAATTTAACATTATGAGAATTTTCAGAAAAAACTCTGCAAATGCTCACGCAAGAGTTAAACCAACAAAGTTAATTCCATCATATTAAAAACTTCGATTTTTGGTTCTTGCAACATTCAATCATCTTCGTCATGATTCTTCCATTTGTATAAAGCCGCCTACAATTATTACATTCAGCAAGGCTGAATTTTTGCAATATAAATGGAAAATTAATAGCAAAGTCGTACATGTAAAATTATCAGCTAGCCTTATAGAAAAAGCAACTCTCGACGCATATAATAATAAAGCGTGGAACCGCAGTCACGTACGATTCGTTCATTTTAATCGGCATGCTGTAGAGGCATTCGAGTGTTATGTGCAGTTAAAATCTCCGAGAGTAATCGGCTTTCGTCTTCAGCGACGACGACGACGATGCCGTAGTCTCTCGCTTTGATCGAGCTTTGTGAATACCTAATCCACGAAACTCCAATACATGCTAAGGGCTGTCATATTAATGCTACGAAGCTACGAGGTTATGCATTAATTATCTGGAAGGATACACTTGGAGAATGATTGCATATTTTGTTATACATAGAGATTCTAACAGGATATATCTAGATTAAAATTTTGCTTGGAATATGTAATCTTTCACACGGACGTGTAGTAAGAAAAGCTTTCTGGTTTGGTAAAGTAGCACTGGTAAGGTTAATAGACATTTGAATTATTTTTATATTATTTTCCAGATCAGAACAATATGTCTCAATTTCGATTCCAACAATTTCTTTATGTTTATTTTCAATCAATTGCCACTTAAGATACATTTACTTTTTAATACTTCTGATTTCATAAAGAAAACAAATAAATAATAAATGTATTGCGTTACATTACTATTCGATCATGTATGTACTATACGATTCTCATTATACTTATAAAGATGAATCTACTAAAAAAATTATTTTGTTATTTAAATGATACGAGGTTGTTGTTCATAACTTGTTTGTATTTTTAAATTATTAATTGCATGCTCGAATATTAAATGCCATTTTATTGATAAAATGCTTAAAAATTAATATATTTGTACTTGTCATTATAAATAAATTGTTCATATATAAATGAATTCATGCTGAAATTAAAGAAAAGTGATCCAGTAGCTTATATGCTAACAGACTTCATCTTTGACTCAAAATTTCATCGAAAGTGACGAGTTTCTAACGCCGACAATGTTTTTAAAAATAGAAAAATTGGAAAATGAAAAAACGCAAGTTTTGCCAAATAAAACTGTCATAAATTCCAATATATTTACGCATATTTCTTTGTCATTCAAAATTTTAATGAACTCGTAGAGACCACGTTAATCGTGGGTATTTTAATAAAATTCGAAGAATCAATCTGTTAAAGCAAGAAAAATGTATTCTTCAGGCGAAATTTAGTAAGAGAGACTGAAAGATATTTCGAATCAAAAGCTTATGGTTGAAAATTGAGCGATAAACGCCTAACAAATAAAAATGGCCGTATATGCAAGGTAACACTTATCAGCAATAACATCTTACAAGCCCGATATAAGCTACACAAAATAAGTTAAATTTGTTTTAAACTAAGGCATATAAGAATCACGCGAGAGAACTTCCGCTCAGAATATTTCATCGACAATAAGGAACATAGTATATTATAACTTGCGAATTGGCGCTTTACAAGTTACGCGTGACGCGAAGAGAAAGTGGTAGGTCTCGGTTTGTGCATAAATCATCGTACGCTCGACACAACTTATCTCACACATATAAGCATTCAACTTCGGCAAGATTGTTGTTGTTACAAGTCGCGAGAGATGTTCATGAGAAACACGTGCAAGTACATATGCGAGAATGCGAGAAAAATAGTTTTTAAAATGTTACATGTATGTGTACAGTGCAGTGTAATTTACATGCTTTAAAAATTTCGTAATTAGTTTCAGAGACAAGTCTTTCTATATAGCTTTCAACCAACGACGCGTGGTAATACTTTGGTATCTGGTATTTTGAAATGTGTCAATAAATAGTAAGTTAATTATATTTACTTAATATATTGCTAAATATGCACTTTGACTTCATTTTTACTTTATTTTGACTTTATTGTTCAGTTCGAACAATAAAATAAAATTGTGAAGTGGATTATATCTTTCTATTCGTTTCATTGTTGAGAAATAATTGTTATAGATTAACTATATCATAATTAATTTTTAAAGCGCTTGAAATTGATCACTGGAAAGAAATTTGGTGTGATTCAAGAGTATGGCCATGGATTTTATTTAGTCTATTTAAAATACATCTTACCGATTGAAAAATTCTCTTTAGTACGCATATGTCAAAAAAATAGAAAAAGAATTTTTTTAGATGTCTAGTTAAATACTCAGACGGAAAAGTGATCGGTAATTCAATTAGTTCAAATCAATTGTTTAATTAATTATAATATAAAATGTGTGAACTGTATAATTACTAAATTAAACGAAACAAACACTGATATAAAGTATTTAACTATTATTTAATCCAGTTATCTTGTCTATTGTATGCTTTAATAGAGCAAAAAAAATGATCAAACATGATTATATCTGACTGAAATTTTATTATTAATACATACAATGAAAAGAATATCGAAAAATTTAATAATGAGTTGCAGAAACACATCATGAATAATTTATTTAAAAATGTGCTATTTTAGCTCTACTGTTTGTGTAATATAAATTATAAAAATATTCTAGTATTATTATGTATAATAAGGTTGTGTAATTGATTTATTACAAAATTAGTTATTATAAATTGATCTTTCACTGTACAAGTATGTTCAATTTTCTGCGAAAAATGTAAAAATCTAGCATTCTTCACTAATCGTTTTTTAATTATAAATAAAGATGTTGCACAAATATACTTGCAGTATTGAATTTGCAAAAACTCAAGCAGAACACGAAATTGCATTCTACATTTATAGAATGAAAAACAGGGTTTTATAGTTATAAGCTAATTAGCTTAGACTCTAAACCTCTACAAAGTTTGACCGAACATGTATATGGGTATTTTAATGTGTAGTTGCGATTAATTTTTCCGAGGTTTTGCGAATTTAAGAAGTTTGTGACCTTACGTTATTGAGGAAAAAAGTTTTCCAAACTTAGTAGTGAGCTTAAATGTTTTCAGAGACTAACAAATCAACTAATAAATTTCAACTAATAAATCCTCAATTAAATTTTTTATAACATATGTCCAAAATATACTTTTTCAATTTACTGTATCCAATGTCGTTAAGTTTTTAGTAATTGAAAGGCAGTTTTATTTGCTTTAAATGCTGTTTCCACAGAGATTTCTAATAAAAATATTAAAAAATAGAATCAGGAGATTGATTGAATAAAAGAAAGAATTTACATACTAAGAAAGTAGCCATGTTACGAGCGTCAATTATTGCTACAAAGAAAGCTTATAAACATAAAATACATACCAAAACTCAAAAGAAATATAACTTCTTTATGCAATTTCTGTGCCATAAAGTACTCTTGGCTAGAAAAATCCAGTTATGCTTATGAATTGAGTGTCAGCTAACCCTTTCTTTACTTGTTTGCGTAACGTTAATGAAAGGGTCATTTATACTTATAAAGAGTGGAGGTTTTTCTTCTTTGCCCTGAAGCGCTATGCTGCTAACCCGTTGCCTTTTTTCAACGGAATAATTATTTTACTCGTCGAGATATCTTTGTTTGCTTTGAAGTATAATTTGTACTTAAAAACATGTATTTTTTAGGAAAATTAGCTAACATTAAGAATTCCTATTAGAATAAATTAAATATGAATGTAAACATTTAATGCTTTGTGTTTTGATTAACATTGAATTAACAAATATACATATCGCGATAAATAATTCACGAAAAATAATATGGATTATGTGTTAATCTTCGGAACTAAACAATTTGAAAGATCCGTATATTCGTGCTTACACATCTCGTCAGATAAACATCATAATAAAAATATAAATAATTCGTTTAAGGAACAGGATCCACACTTCTCTTTTTCTTCTTCAATTTCATTGGAATTGGAGCAGGATTTTTGAAAATAGTACTGTAACATTAAAGATTTAATGCTTATTTAAGATTTAATGAAATTAAAATGTTTTATTTGTCTAAAATTAACTTTTCCAAAATGAAACAGTTGATACTTACTGACATGTTGTGCAAAGAGGGCTGAACTTGCAGAATACTAAAAATAAATAAAATAATATTAGTGTGATCAATTTATATCTGGTAGTATGAAAATTGAATAATACCCACTTGATAAACATACTGAACAAACAAATCCTGTATCAACAAGTACCTGATGGCAGAAACATGCAGCTCTATAATCTACTTTAACTGGTGGTGGTAGTACTAACTTTGACCTGACTGATGGATCAGGCAAAAATATCCACTGAAATAGAAATGATTATCATAAAGAAATTTGAAATTTCTTTCAATTTCTATCATTTAATGTTATGAATATACATAAAAATAGTGCAATTGAAAACTTATTATCTTTAATAATTATAAAAAATCAAGACTAATACATAAACGCCTATGTTCTCAAACTAACATACCAATAGATATTGCAACAAGCCTGCTAATGGAGGTTGCCCATTTTGTTGCGGAACCCTCAGGTAGTTACCACCAGTTAAATCACAACCTTGTTGGAGAAGAGTAAGTTCATGATCTAAACTACAAACATCTAATATAACACCCTGAAATAATACATCATAAATTTAGTTTTAAACTATGACTTTGTACTTCTGGTAAATAACAATATTTTGACACACCATTTTCTGAGAAGTAAAAAAGATATTCATATAATTCATATACTGTGTTGCAGAATCATGACTAGCAGTGATAACTAAGATTCTGGAATGTAATTTTTCACCTGCTATTTTTTCTCTTTCCATTCTAGTAATATAACACAAAGCCATAGATAAGGCACCAGATATCAAACTTTCCTCGTTACAACTTCTATCCATAGACATATCACATACCATTTTATGAATTTCTTGTCTGACAGTTCTTTCAAGTTGAGTAAATTTTTCATATTGTCCATCAAACTGCCGAATTTCTGGCATTTTGTCTTTGGGATAGAGAAACTGTGCACCTTGGCTATGACAAGCCATAATTCCAATGTGATTATTTGGTGTTTGCATTAGGTGTGCATTTGAGAAAACAATAGTTGAGTCTAAACATTGAGTCAAAATTTGTTTGACAAGCTTTTGCATGGGATTTATATCTAAAATCACAATACAGAGACTCTTATCAATTTCTGCTACTAAATCTGTAAATAAATATAGTAATTAATTCATGTTTATAATTGATTCACCTTAACGTTACTATTAATAATATTGTTTTAGGTTATTCGTATCGGAATTTTGTTTTCGACTATTTAAAAAGCAGTTTCATTACACTTATTAAAGAATAATAAATTACTCACCAGTTTCCATTGTAACGTTGTATTATTTACAAAATTATAACTACAAATAACATACGTACAAAATAAACATTCTCTATATATACTAATACTTATGCTCACTATGTATGTATTGTACATACATACATACAACTATACACAGTGTCAGTAACGTCAGAGCGCCAGAGCGGTCAGATTTTAAATCACAGAGTGTGTGCACAGGCGTATAGATGATGTCGATTGTCGAATGTGTATCTGATGGAACATTCGTTCCGTGAAGTACAAATTCACACGAAACAACAACATTACAGGAATATTCTTTCAGTGTGAAAAGGCCCGTATGAGTTTCGCAGAATTTTACTTCTTATATTAGTTCCAGTACTGTTCTTACGTTTCTCTGACGGTCGCTATTTTAACAATATCATTTCAAATTAGTGTATTATTAAAACCATTTAAAATTGATTAAAATGAGTTGTTAGGTTTAAATAGAATTTCACATAACTGTTACTATCAATTTTATTTAATAAAATTCTTAATTTTAGTTGTAAACGCAACTTATATTAGTCACGATTTTGGTTGACAATGTAGTTTTCTAGAAAAGGCGCGTTTTGCGCCGCTGGTTGATTGAAAAGGGCGCGAGCTAGATATAACTGATGCTTGGGGCCGGGAGGAGTCGTGGAGGATTGACTTTATGAATATTCCTGTGATATCAGCTCGCATTAATTTTCCTGTAAACGTTATTCTTTTAGGCTTTTATTATTTCTAAAATAGACATCAAGTCTAAAAAAAACTGGAGAGCAGTTAATTTCGTTTACTTTAGAAAATCATTTGTACTTTCATCAGACGTAAAAATTTTGCGTAAGTGATTTAGATAGCAGGTTAAGACGCCATGTATACAATCTTCCAAGAAAATTCCAAGCTTTGTTTAGAATAGAGTATTGAACGTTGATATTTTCTTTTGTTATTCTTATGTATATTAAAACATAAATTTAATGGTTATACAACTATCTTGGTATTTCTTGATTAGTAAACAAAAAATTAATAGTCCATAGTTTTGATTGTTTTTCTGAAAGTCTGATTGTTTCAGGTTGTTCATTAAGTAGTAAGTATAAAAATGGCACTTACCATCAAAGAAGACTCTAATTCTTTCCCTTGTGCAGATGATGATGATGATGCATTATTGAATGAAGCAATTTATTGCAGTAGAAATTTAGAAATCAAAACTGATGATGATGATGAAGAAGTAGAATTAAAAAAAATCAGTAACAATGAGAAAATTAACAAGGAAGTTGAGAAACTGAAGCCATCACCTATTTTATGGTGTGACATGGAATCAGATTCATATCCTTCTGAATTATCATCATCAAATAGCAAGATTGATTTATCTAATTTAAGTGGCAAAAGTGACTTATCGTTATCAGCTAAGATGGATGTTTCAACATCAGACATAAAAAGTGAAATTTTGATTCCTGAAATCAAAGTGGATTCAGAAGGAAATGAAAAAAGAGACAAAAGTAATGGAAACCAAAATAAAATAGAAATAAAAGATTCAATTAAAAAAGAAATTGAAGATTCAACTGAAACAAAACAGGAATCAGAGAAAATAATGAATACAAGTGATGATAGTGAAAATGTTACTCCTTGTAAAAGGATAAAGCAAGAAGAGCCTAGAGAAGAAACAATGAATAGGAGTAGGCGGAATAGTGATACAAGTTGTAGTACACTATCTAATCATAGTAACAAAAAGAATGTTGAATATGAGACTGATGCAGCTGTGCTAGCTCGTAGACAAAAAGATATTGATTATGGAAAAAATACTATAGGCTATGATGTATATTCTCAACAAGTTCCAAAGTAAGGAAAATTAAATGATAACAAAAATAATAGATTTAAATTTATCCTATTAGGGTAAATGAAAATTAATCTAAATTATGTTTTCTATTTTTTCAGAGATAAACGTACTAAAGAGCATCCACGAACACCTCCAATGTATTTGAAATACAGTAGACGAGGTTGGGATGGTATGGTAAAACTGTGGCGTAAGCAACTTCATATGTGGGATCCAGAGAATGAAAAAGAAGATAAGAAAAACGAATCTTAGCAATATTGAAAATTGTTCCATTTATTCATAAGGCATCAAAATAGGTTTAAACTTTACATGTCTTTTTTCATAGTAAATTATTTACATGTTTAAACATTTTTCTCAGTATGTTATATAAATAAGTATTTTAAGAAAAGTGAATGTCATTGTAAACATTTATTTTTATAATGTCTATAAAATACTTTTGTGTTAAAAATTATTGAAGAAATGAGTATATAGCTTTATTTTTACTTCCTCGATATATATTTCTTTTATTTATCAAACTTGAAATCTTATTACAAGACTTATTCACTAAACCTCGATATATATATATATATATATATATATATATATAAACAAATTATTGTAACAAAAAAATATAATCAATTGTTTTATTCTAATTAATAAATATTCGAATCTAGTTTTATATGTTACTTAGATAATGTTAATTGGATTGAATTTAAATATACATTCTGCTGAGGTATAGATTCACTCCTTTGTTGAACCAATGTATTATTTCATATTCGACTCGCTATAAAGCTTGCAATATAATCAACAGAAATGATCAGAGTAATAATAAATTAAATTTTTTCCAAGATTACATAGAAGCTAAAAGATCGTGAGAAATTACCAAGTTTGATAAAACTACGAAAATCTTACAATTTAAAAAACTTCAATTTATTATTTATTATTAATACTCTTAATCAGGACAAACAGCGTCAGAAGTGCTAAAAAGCTATAAAATATAAAATGGAAGTAATTTGGAAAAATTAATTTTCCAAGCGCGTTTCTGCGCTTAACAGGCCTATCGCTTTTCTTTTCAGTCCTACGTCTTGCATTTTTTTCTTTCCAGTAATTAATCAGGATAAGCAACTATTTATTAAATATTAAACCAACTAAGAAAAAGTAATATATTTCAGACGGCTTACTTCAATTTGAAAATTTCGAAAGAATATAATTTAATATATATCCCTTTCTCAATTTTTTAAATCATTTTGATTGACTTCTGACGGTTGAAAAATAGTTATTGTTGAAAAATAATTGTGTAGTCCAAGATTTTAATTCTGTTAAATTGTTGCAGAAGGCAAATAAATCATGTACGGTAAGAATTTTAATCGAAAAAAAAGCGATAAGTAAATTAAGGGCGGACTCTTGGAATATTAATTTTTCGGCACCGTTTTCATTTATATTGCATTATTCTGATGATACTGTAGATATTGTTTGTACTAATGATTAACGCAATAGTACCAAATGACAAACAATTTTTATAATATGTAAGTTGTCCAATATTTTACAAAATCTAGTAGCTTCCAGCGACACTATTTTTTTACGTATTCTTTTGACGTCACTTTAGCAAAGTATAAGAAGTTCTGTATTCGACGTGAATTATTATTTTCTTATGATATACTTGAATATCTCTCTGAAACAATTCAACCTATTTTGATTTTTCGTAAGTGGACTCATTTGAAAGGGTGTGCTAGTGAGTTGGTTTCATTTTCATATTGATTTGATTTAAGTACAATTTTGCGAACAATTGCAAACAAATCAAGTTGAAGGAAGTCTAGGCAGGTCGTTTATATTCTTTCTTTTGTTACTAATACATAAGAACACTGTATCAATGAACTTAAGTTCATTTATTTAAAAAAATATATTCTTCATTATCTTCAACATAGCTAATTATAAATCACACATAATATTTTTATTGATTTTTTTAAAATTTCAGTTGTTTCTTTTGTTTAACAGGAATATCAAACAGTTATTTCTTTGAAGTGGATTGTACATATTCTTTATAAAGTTTATTAATATCTAACTTCAGTAAAAAAAATTTATAATTTTTGACGACCTACACATTTTACGAAAAAATTATACGAGACCTTTTCGTTATAATCTTTTTGTTGTATAATAGACTAGATCGACAAACTATTTTTTCATATATTATTTAAAAAATTGCGTTCTTTGAAAATACTAGTAGTGGATTCAGATTCAAATTTATATATACACTGGTTTATATAGTACCAAATTATTGCATTTTATTTGTTGTGAAATGCCTTTCTTTCATTTATGCAATGATTTTACTTATTTAACTAATTTAAGTGAAAACAGCAACTTATAATTGTTACCCAAAATGAATTTTCAGATGTAAAAGATGAGATTTTAATTCTTTAAATAAAAGTGAATTTGATAGATAATGAAAAGAGACAAAAATAATAGAAAACAAAAATAAAATAAAATAAAAATGAAAAATTCAATTGAAAACAAATTAAAGATTCAACTAAAATAATAAGAGAATCAGAGAAAATAATGAATACATTTAGTGATGATAGTAAACATATTACTACATGTAAAGGGATAGGTAAGAGGACTCAAGAGATAATAAGGGATGTGAGAGTAAACTTGTAGTAAATAATAATATTTAAGCTTGAATAGATTAAATTAAATATTTTTCATATAACATCATACAAATAAGCATTTTAACAAAAGTGAATATTAATGTAAATATTTATTGTTGTAGTGTCCATTCAAAATACTTTGTATTAAATATTACTGAGAAACTGTGTACATAACTTTATTTTCACTTTGTAGATAAAAATGTTTTAAAAAACTTAACAACTTATCAATTTTTTTATTAGGATTCTAGTTTCAGTAGAATATCTAATTTCTGATTTATGATTCTATTCATTGACTCAATTTTTGCCATCAGTCTTTTTTCCATATTAGTAAACTGTTCGTCTATATATTTTTTCAATTCAGAGTTAACAGTTATGGAAGTACCATTACATTCTGACCTTTTATCTACTTCACTAGTATTACTCGACCTATTATTCCCCTGAATTCTATTTGAACTATTTGAACTCCAGCCCGCCATACCCCAGCTTTGAAAGCGGGTATTTATGTCATCTCCAGAAGAATTAGAATCTCCACTAGTAAAAGACTCCAAAACTTTTTTTGCCATTTCAATCCTTTCAGGCCTGATTCGAGGTGTATTACTCAAGTAATTGTTAATCACATCAAAATCAAAATGGTTTTTAGAATTTTCTGATAATGGCTCTGTTAAAGTGAGTCTTATTCCATATATCCACATTGTATCTTTATTTTTGGTTCTAGTAAACTAAAACAATAACGAATAAAATTTTTTAAAT